AAATTCATGTAAGATCAAGTGCGAAAAAAAAATTACTACAATGCAATATAAATGGTCGAATCATACTGTTGGTACAACAATGATGTCAGGCCATGCTTCGAACATCCCCTTAATTGATTGAAGATTATTACGAAGGACTGCACGATTTTCGTTACACGTATTTCTCATCAAAAAATCCTAATTATATCATGCATTTGAGTTAAACAGATAATACTAATATTCCAACATTGCATCAAATATAACGAATCGAAATAGGTTACCATTAATTTGAAGATTAATACTTTATCATCAAAAGATCCTAATATTTCGAAAGAGCTCCAAACAATTATTATAGCGCAAAGGTCCTATAATTCGAATTAGAATATTAATCAATATTAAATTTCAGTATAATTGAATCTTAACATTTATACAATTACCTGAATAAAATAATTGATTCCCTTTCCATACATATCCCCTTCAATTATCAATTGGATTAATGGCCGAATCCAAATTGAAGCATAGTTCTCAAACGCTTCAGGAATATTAATAATCATTTTAGCAATAAATAGGCGTATGTTGATGTGTGTTTCTAAATAAAAATATTAAATAAATATCAAAATACATAAGTGTAAGATAAAGAAATTAAGGTAATAATAAATACATCACCTTTCTTAATGAATTTTTTATGTAAATCATTCATCCATATAGGCGTCGATTCGGAAGAGTTTGGTGGTGTAATTTCAGTGTGAAGTCGTTCAATTACTCTGATAATCATTTTCATACAAGGATTACGATTAAACGCGTCAATCTCTAATTCCCTAGGTTCTGACCTTTATAAGGTTGTAATGCATTAACAGGAATGCATAAATGCATTAAAAATGGTTTAGTATACTATATTTAATATATTAATATGCCAAATAATGTTACAAATAAAAAAAATATTTACAAAGTCTTTTCTGGCTCATCAACTTCCATTGGAGCCGGATCATTATTTTCTATTTGTACATTTGTATCAAATTCTTGAGTAATTTCTTCTATCATGCTATCAAGATTGGCATTCTTGAAAAGGTATATATAAATATATAAATACATTATGTAATAATATATCTAAATTAATTTAATGATATTTAAATTTTTTTGAAGCTCATTAGCAAACCTGTGAAATGCTAGAATCTGCCAAATATTGTGATGCAAGGTATTTTAAATTATTGGTACTAAATGTTTTTTTACAAATAAAAGTAATTTAGAAACTCTGAATCAATTAACGAATCAAAATAAATAATGTGACGTATACTTTTTTGTTTCTTTAGATAAACCTCCCGTCCTTGTCCTAAAATCATCAAGTTTAGTCTTAAAAAATGGTTGTTCTGAGTCGGCACTGAAATGATGTTTTGTCTATTCAAAAAAACGCTATTAATACAAGCTCTAAAATATTTCAAACATTGCTCATTAAGTCTATTAGAGTACCTTTAAATCAACGATATTCTCCCACACAAATTCTCCTTTGATAATATTATCAGCAAATAAAAATGTCTTATAGAACACTGGAGTATTTTTAGCAGTATTATCTTGCGTGCATAAAATAGCAGCCGAAAGAGCATTATATGCAGCACATTTGAGTAGAAATTTAGCTTCTATAACCGATTCACTTGAATATTCATCCTAACAATTATAATTATAATTGAATATTTATATAAATTCGAAACTAAATAGCCATCAATAATATATGTATGCTAATTTCAAATCATACATGATCACTCTTTGACTTAATTTTATGTGCAAAGTCCATTATAATACGAGTCAATTCCTTTGCCTTTGATATTCTCCCTTCAAAATAATTTTGAACAATTTCTCCTCTCTCCGAATAAATATGATCTTTAGAAACTCGCAGATACATAATGTGAAAAAATAGTTATGGATTAAATATTAATTTTACAAAAATATAACAATATACTGTACAAAAAAATCAATAAAGGATATTTGTAATAAAGTAAACGATCCAGCTTTTGCATCAAGTTCATAAATTATTTCAGAGTCAGTTCTTGGATGTGTATTCTGTTCAATAATATTAATTAACTCTTTAATATGCCTTTTGTAAAATTCCACTACAAATATCTTGGTTCCTTGCATTAATATAGGACTTAAGATTGATTGAATTATATTTCGATGAAAATTTGCAAATTTTGAATCCATGAAATATCTATTATTTACGAAAATCAAGTTATAAACAAATAATAAGATATCAATAAAAAATATGTATTAATCGATTGACAAAAATACAATACCCGAAAGCTATTTCCAATGTTTCAACAAATTTAGAACGAGGAAGTTTAGAAACAAATTCAACCAATTTGCGATAAAACTCTTCACAATAAATATGATCATTCTCGCGGACAAAAATAGGAACTAAAATTTTAAAAAGGCCAACACTACTAGATCGCACCATTGCTTTAAGCAACCCATCAAGTATTGAAATATATTCATTCAGTCTACAATATAGTTAAGGATATAACTTATAATAATTTTGGATATTTTATGGATATATTAATATAACCAGCATTTGAAATAAAAGGATACTTTCTGGTTCCACCAGACTTGTAATCTGATGACCATAAAGGAAATTGGTTATTCAAAATATCCGAAATACATGTCTCAATCTAGATGGAAAGTCAACGATTAATGATTAATATTTAGTAAATTTTCTATATAATAAAAATGAATATATATTAAAAATTACCTTTTCAATTTGCATATCAGATTTAATAAGTATTGGCAAAATGTCTAAAGCTTCAGACTTAAAATCAAGTTCTGTATTCTTTCCCAGGAATGATATGTATGTATCAAAGAACAATTGCTTAAAGTCATTTGAAAACGGATGATTTAACAAATTACGATCCAGCTTTAAAAGTCCTTTCCATAATTTCAATAAGAAACGTTGGTCTTTGTCTTTCGAATTATTAACGCTACAAGAACAGATTAGCAGAATCCATCAGAATATATTAATACGACAAATTTGTAATTAACGTCTAAATCATATTTTAATAGCAGAGTAGTACTTACAACTGACTCAAAAAATTCGTTGATGAAGTGAACTTGAAAATCAAATTAAAACAAAAAGAAAGGTTAAATATCGTTAAATATCGTTAAATGCTACTTCATATCGACCCTTCTACTTACATCTTTTAAAAACGTTGATATCTGTTCCGGGTTTTTCTTAAAGGATAGATAATCAATTACTCCCCAAATGACATCCTTTACTATAGCATCATTAACGCTCTCACAAAATATAGAAGCGAATGCTTTGAAATTGCGAGAGATATGTTCATTGATCTATTTTAAACGGTTATAAACAATTAATAAAAAAGCTGTAATGAAATTAATAATAAATTTTAATTTGAAATTATCACTCACGCTTGATGAAAATTTCTGAAAATATAGGCTACCATCCTGATAACTCACATGAGAGTTATGACTGGGAAAACCCTGGATTAGAGTAAAAAGAGGCTCTATTAAATGCAATTTAAATATAAAATTTCTAGAAAAAAAAAGAATATATAATGCGTACCATGATGTCACTGAGAAGCCATCTGTTTAAAGTATCAGGATTATTACCCAAAACAAATGTAAGTAAATGACTTGCAAGGTCAATCCAAACAGGCTCTTGAACATTTTTGAGAGACTTGAATTTATCCCAT